TCCTATAAACATCATATTCCTATAAACACATTATATTCCTATAAACACACATTATATTCCTATAAACATCATATCCCTAATTCACATTATATTCCTGTAAACACACATTATATTCCTATGAACATCATATCCCTAATTCACATTATATTCCTATAAACACACATTATATTCCTATGAACATCATATCCCTAATTCACATTATATTCCTATAAACACACATTATATTCCTATAAACACCACATTCCTGTAAACACCACATTCCTGTAAAAACACTCCCTATTCTTGTTTTTAAAGAGCAGGAATAACTGGGATGATGGAATATTTTCAAACCTGGAATATCCACCCTGTGGAGTGGCTTGGAAGGAGGATTAGGGTGACAATGATCCCTGGAAAAACTGCAGGTGGAAAAGGTTTAATTTGTTTTCAGGGTCATTGAGGAGCAAGAAATAAGAAGTTTCTGAGCAAACCTGAGGGTTTTCCTTCCTTGTTTGTGTGGAAAAGGTTTAATTCGTTTTTAGTGTCTTTAAGAAATAAGTTTCTGAGCAACTTCTAAGAATTTTCCTTCCTTCTTTGTGTGGAAAAGATTTAATTTGTTCTCAATGTGATTAAGAAACAAGAAATAAGAAGTTCCTGAGCAAACTTAGGGGTTTTCCTTCCTTGTTTCTGTGGAAAAGATTTAATTTTTTTTTTAGTGTCATTAAGAAATAAGTTTCTGAGCAACTCTAAGAATTTTCCTTCCTTGTTTGTGTGGAAAAAGTTTAATTTGTTTTCAGTGTCATTGAGGGGTAAGAAATAAGAAGTTCCTGAGCAAACTTAGGGGTTCTCCTTCCTTATTTGTGTGGAAAAGGTTTAATTTGGTTTTAGTGTCTTTAAGAAATAAGTTCCTGAGCAAACTTAGGGGTTTTCCTTCCTTGTTTGTGTGGAAAAAGTTTAATTTGTTCTCAGGGTGATTAAGAAACAAGAAATAAGAAGTTCCTGAGCAAACTTAGGGGTTTTCCTTAGTTGTTGGTTGTCCCTTCAGCTCTGCAAAGCCAGGGCAGGTTTCCCTCAGCGAGCCAGAGGTCTCAAGGACTCATTTCAAATATCCTGCTCGTTATTCTGGTATATTTTTTTTGCCTAACCTTGTCTCTTGCAGTAAAAAAAAAATACCTGAACATCCTAAATTACTGTTTCTGGCTCTTCATTCTGCATAGTGCTGTTGGAAGCCAGACATAAGCCACCATTCCAATATATGTTCAGTACAAACAGGGTTTAAATGGCCTAAAATAATACTTATTTAGGTAGTTTCCACATGAAAATCCAATGGAATTAAGACTGTGTTATTGTTGCTGAGGTGATGAGGCTGTTTCAGGCCAGGAAAGGCTGGGGAGTGTTTCAAGTGCTTGAAACTTTGGGTCTTGGCTTTAAACTGGATGCACAGATTGAGTGTTCCAGCTTTTAGGCTGGCTCAAGGACACTTCCCGGGCAGTGGGGACCATCTGGCCTGGCCAGGGTGTTGCAGGATTAATTAAAGAGCCTGTTTTTTGCTGGTTTAGCTGTTTGGTTTTGCTGCAGAGCCCTTGTTCTGGGGCAGGGAACTTGCACAAGGAGTCGGGGCTGTCACAGCTTTCGAGCATCCCCTGCAGTGCTACAACAACCCCTGAGCCCCACGGGCTGGGCCAGAGGGGCTGGAGAGCAGCCAGGCAGGAAGGGAGCTGGGAGTGGGGATGGACAGGGAGCTGAACAGGAGCCAGAGTGTGCCCAGGTGGCCAAGAAGGCCAATGGATCCTGGCCTGGCTCAGGAACAGTGTGGCCAACAGGTCCAAGGAAGTGATTCTTGCCCTGGACTCAGCGCTGGTGAGGCCACCCCTGGAGTGCTGTGTCCAGTTCTGGGCCCTCAGCTCAGGAAGGACATTGAGGGGCTGGAGCAGGTCCAGAGGAGAGCAACGAGGCTGGGGAAGGGACTGGAGCACAAGTGCTGTGAGGAGAGGCTGAGGGAGCTGGGGCTGTTCAGCCTGGAGAAGAGGAGGCTCAGGGGAGACCTCCTCACTCTCTGCAACTCCCTGACAGGAGGGGGGAGCCAGCTGGGGGTTGGGCTCTTTTCCCAGGCAACCATCAGCAAGACAAGAGGGCTCGGTCTTCAGCTGTGCCAGGGGAGGTTTAGGTTGGAGATTGGGAAGAATTTCTTTGCAGAGAGGGTGCTCAGCCATTGGAATGGGCTGCCCAGGGAAGGGGTGGATTCTCCACCCCTGGAGGTTTTTAAGCTGAGCCTGGATGTGGCATCAGTGCCATGGGCTGGGAACCACGGCGGGGTTGGATCAAGGGTTGGACTTGATGATCTGGGAGGTCCCTTCCAACCCAGCTGATTCTGGGATTCTATGATTCTCTCTAATGGAAAATGCATTTCCCAGCCTGGGGACCTTGGGAGCAGCAGCTTCCATCTGGTGGCTCCTGCAGCTGGCAGGGGGAGCCTTTGAAGTTAAGCAGCTGTGAGAGCTGTGTGGGTTTGGGTTGAGGCAGAGTGGGCTTGGCTTTATTTTGGTTTTAATTGAGGCAGTAATGGCACTGCCACAACAATTATGTATCCTTGCCCCCTGAGGGACCTGGGACTGATGCAGGTGATAATGGTCTGGTTTAGGAACAAGAGGATCTTTAAGGCCCTTCCAACCCAAACCCTCCTGGGATTCTTTAATAAGGGCAGAGCCAGTATTGCCTCACGTGAACTAAACTTACACCCCTCTCCCTCCTCCTCCAGCACCTTTTTTCCTCTTTCCTCCTGTATTTTCCCCTAATTTTCCCACAGTGGTAAAATATAAAATAAAAGGCATGTTACTCACCATGGCTTCCTCCAGATCCCTGAGCCTGGAATGCTGGGATGATCCAGGGCACTCAGAGTGCTGCACCTCCCCTAATTTCTCCATTTCCTTTGCCATCTGGATTGGGAAGTGACACAGCCTTCAGGAGAAGAGATTTTGCTGCCAAAGCAGCTCTTCCCCAGTTACAGATGAAGATGAAACTGTTCCACTGCACCACTAAAATTCACCTTTTTCCCATGGGCTACAGCAGCTGAAAACGTGGAAGTGCTGCTGGGAGGGACTGGATGTGAAGTGTTGGGAAGGATGAGAAAACCACTGGTGGATAGAACCTTCCACAGGTGCTTTGTTATTTAATTCCTGACTAACTACCACAAGGCAGTTGCCAAAATTTTAAAGGAGGTGGGTGAATGTCGCCGTAAAACAGCCCAGGAGAATATTGGCTGGAAATTAGGGAGAGGATGAAACCAAGTTTAACCTGGAGCTCCAGCCTCCATCTCTGCCTTGGAGGTGGCTGCCCAGGGGCTTTGGTTGCTGTTCTTTGTGCCAGGCTGTTAAATACCAATTATTTTACAATTACTGCTTAAAAATCCATGTGTTTATACACAAATAGATGTTTAGGGCAAGGAGACAGGTTTTAGGGGAAGGAGACAGGAAGGATACAGGTTTGCAGGGTAGCCTGTGGCACCATCTCTTCCTGGCTACATGTTTTACAGGTCAGGGTTGTTCTCCAGCCCAGAACCCACCTCTTGGAACGACCCCACCAGGTTCTCAGTGCTCCTCTTCCCTCCTGGCTGCAGCCCAAAGGACCAGTGCTGAGCCAAGCAAATCCCCACGGACAGCACCAGCAGCAGGACACTGGCAAAGATCTTCCTGGACTTCTCCATCCTGGGAGAGAAAAAAAAAAAAGGCATCTTTCTCATCATCATCAAGGCATTCCAGCTCCGTTTTTACCTTGGAGAGTGATGAAAACACTGCATTTCTGGATCACAGGCTCGTGGAATACCCTGATGAGATGGAAGGGACCCACAAGGATCATCAAGTCCCCCCCAAGAATCCCCCCCCCTGTGCCTGTGCTCTGCAGTTCTGATCTGCACCTCGTGCCTGGGCCTGAGCCACAGCTGCCTTGGGAACCTCTCAAAGTGGGGATTAACTCCCTATAAAAGGGCTTTGACATCTGAGGAATTTGGATGGAGATCTGAATTAGGATTCTGGAGCAGCCTCTCAGAGTCTGAGGCATGTCTGGACCTCCCAGGTCCCAGACAGGTCCCTGTAGGGTTTGGGCAGATGTGTTCATGCTCTGATGTCCCTGCTCCTTCAGAACTGCTCTTTGCAGTCTCTTCTAATCAAGTTCCTTCTCCTGTGAGCTTCTGTAAGCACTGAATAAGTAAAAAGGGAAGATGAGATATTGTTCAAGCACGTTACCTGCTGCCTGAGAGGGGTTGTAGAGGAACTCCAACTCTTCTCAGATGGAAAACGTCCTGTGACTGTGGCTGTCACCTCCCTTTTATACAGCAACCCCCTCCCAGCAGGTGACTTCATCTAATTCTGCCTCCCAGGCTGCAATTTTGGTGTTAAAATGACTGTGATGCTGCCCAAGTAAAGCCCATAATTGGAGCCCCCCTGTGTAGCTGTTAAATTCAGCTGTTTTCTCTAAGAGCCATAAAAGTAACAGCCTGGCTTTTAAGAGCTTGTAAATGTGACATTCAGGCCCTGCTGACTGCTGGGAAATGCAGGAGCTCTCCTGTCAGTGGCTTCTGATTCCTAAGGAGAAGTTCTTGGGTGAGTTTGTGTTTGGTGAGGACTCGGGATGGGCGAGGAATTCGGTCTGTGAGAATCTCAGGGTGGTTTGGGTTGGAAGGGATGTTAAAACTCATCCAGTGCCACCCCCCTGCCACGGGCAGGGACATTTTCCACCAGCCCAGGTTGCTCCAACCCGGCCTTGGGCACTTCCAGGGATGGGGAATCCAAAACCTGAGGCACATCTGAAGGGAACAGCCCTTGGGTGCCTGAACAGGAGCCTGGGGTGGCCCAAGTGGACAGAGCAGCTGGAGAGCTCCTTGGAAATCCTCCTCCTCCATGTTCCAGTTGAGGTGCCTTGATATTCTTTGCTCTGTAAAATGCAAATTGGTGTCAAAGTGATCGAGTGGAGGAGTCTGTTGGATTGTAAATGTGCTTTGCTGGCACAAAGGAGGCTCTGTTGGGAACAGGACTCCCAAGGACTTCTTACAAGGGATGGAGGGACAGGACACAGGGAATGGCTTCAAACTGCCAGAGGGAAAGGTTAGATGGGATATTGGGAAGGAATTCCTCCCTGGGAGGGTGGGGAGGGGCTGGGCTGGAATTCCCAGAGAAGCTGTGGCTGCCCCTGGATCCCTGGAAGTGTCCAAGGCCAGGTTGGAGCAACCTAGGCTGGTGGAAGGTGTCCCTGCCCGTGGCAGGGAGTGAAATGAGAAACCCTTTAAGGTCCCTTCCAACCCAAACCATTCCATGTTCTCTGAGTTTGTGCAGGTTTCTGAAGCAACCAAGAGCTCTTTGCATGCAGGAGTTCAAGTCAGTTATTTTGGCTGCAGGAATGGTATTGTTTGGGCTTTTTTTGTTTTCTTTTTTGTTTTTTTACCCAGCTGGCAGCCCTTCTGCCTTGCTCTGAACTGTCCTGCTGCCATTTGACTGTCTCATGTTCCCTGTTCTCCAAACATCATCCCCTGTTCCACTCCCGTGACCTCCCGGAGCTTTTTAAAGGGATTAAAAGTAATTTAATGAGTAAATAATTGAAGGAGGATTTAGTGACTCTTAGCAAAGAGTCATTCTTCCTGCTCTAATGCTCCTCCTACTCATGGCCAGAGCAGCCAACGTTGAACTCCAGCTGATAAAAATGGATCAAGCTGTGAAAATAGTTGGTTTCAAGTGGGAGAAATTGTTCCTCTGCCATGGGCATGAGGGGGTTTTCCTGGGAGGCTTTGGAGGCTCCTTCCTTCCCTGATGAGTCTTGCAAAAATTAAGGTTATTTAGAGGTAAATAGGAGATTTTGGTGATCCTGAGGGATGGCATTTAAAGAGAGAAGGGGCCCCTGCTTGATAAGCCCCTGTTTAAGCCAAGGCTGCTCTGAACAGCAGCTGCTCCTCCACAGGTTTGTCACAGCTACAAGAGTTGGACTTGGATGATCCTTATGGGTCCCTTTAACTCAGGATATTCTGTGATTCCAGGATTCTCCACAGCTCCCAAAGCATGGACTGCAGGGCTCAGTGAGCTGCTCCCATCCTGTGGCTCCTCCTGGACTCCAGGCCACAGTCCTGAGTTACTTAAAGGACGTGAAAAATAAGATTCCAGCCGGGTTTTGTTTGCCCACAGCAGCTTTTACAGCCCCAGGCAGTGGAATCCACCAAACTGCTCAGATTTGGGGTGATGGAGACGTTTCAGAAGAGCTGCCAGAGCTCCAAGTGCAGCAGTTTCTCTGCTCTGGGGAGGGAAATCTTCCTGCCAATCCTGTTTAGTACTGACATGGAAGTCAAGGATTTGTCCAGGGCCTAAAGGGGCTCCAGGAGAGCTAAAGAGGGACTTGGGATGGAGGGACAATGGGTAATGACTTCTGCCTCCAACTATTTTATCAAGCAAATAGGAAGGGTGGGGATAAAAAAGCTGAAAAGTATTAGAAATTAATGACAAATCAACACAAAACCTCATGAAAATTCCCTAAATTAAGTTTTCAGAACCACTGCAGCAACCCCCACAAGGTACATTTGGTTTTTTTCCAGCAGGTGAAGTTTATGCTTCGACCCCAAAATTCTTGCTGTCAGGCAAGATTGGGGTTGTTTATTTAAATGAAGACGACCAAGACATTTTTCTCTTTCACACTTTTATTAATGCAACTTAAATTAGGCTGGAATTTCTGCACAGGCCACTCTGGGCTCCTCATCCAGCTCTGTGATAGCAAAAGAGGTACCTTAAATTCAGCTGTGAATGATGATGCCACGTGCTGTGATTATTCAACAGTGCTCCAGTGAAAGTTCAAATAGATTTTTATACACAGTGATTATGAAAATAGAGTATTTCCCCCCCCTACAATATTTTACTTCTGCCAGCTACAAAATATGATAAAGAAAAATAATTCATTTATTTCTCTAGCCCTAGGAATCTTCTTCTACTGCAACACACACATCACCCCCCACTGAAAGCCTTGAGGTGGGAGAAAGGACTCCAAAATCACACTGAAATATTTCCCTTCAATCTATAGGTCACTTCACCAAGGATATGGTGGTGTCCTAGAGCCTGATCCAGAGGGATCTGGAGGAAATAATCCCAATTCTGAACCACATGAGCCTGGGATTTTGAGTCCTGGATGTTCATGTCACACGCCTGAGTCGAGCCAACTTGAAAATAAGGGAGAATCCTGCAATTCCCCCCCCCCTCAAACCAATCACATCCTGATCCAGAATAATCACTGATCTTCCCAGATTGGTGGCAAAGCAGCATTTTTTGGAACAACAAACTGAGACAAGAAGCCTTGAGGACAGGAAATTGCACTGCAAAGTGAGACACAACCCACTGAGGAACTGTGGAACTCCAACCACTGTCACACCCTCCAAGTTTTGGGATCCACTGGTTCTTCCTGTGTATTTGTACTGTAACAGCTGTATTTCCTTAGGATTCAAGGTGAGTTTGAACTTTGGGGTGGTTTAAGCATCTGAGGTAAGTTCTTGCTGCACCTTTTTTTTGTTTCTATTTTTTTGGTATCGTTTCTTCGTGTGCTTTTCGATTGTGTCTAAAAAGAAATGTTAGTTGAGGAAACTACCCAGGATCCTGCAGCTCCTTTGCTGAGGGGCAGCCCCACAGGAAGGGAGGCTCACACACACAAAAAAAACAGCTTTCCCTGCTTTTTTCCACAGGTAAAGGAAGTGTGGAAGGGGCACTTGGCCCCAGGCAAGATGCTTTTACAGCCACTTTAAGCAGCCCAAAGTGGATCTGGCTGGGAAAAGGGATTATGCCCATGCTTTCAAGGAGTATTTGCATAGTACAGTGAGGGGAAACAGGGCCATTTATTCATCTCCTGAAGGGATGAGAGGAGGGGGGAGCAGGTGCTGTGGCCCCAGAGCTTCTCTCTGCTTTGGGGACACTCCTGTGTTTGCCTCTGTACGTTGAATTCCCAACAAAGAAGGAAAAAGCTACAGGAACTCCAGTCTGGAGTGGCCAGGACATGTGGAAGCAGGGGAGGTTTTTCTTCCCAGCTGGGATTGATAGTGCAATTCCACACTCATTTGGAGAGGATTAACTGAGACAGCCCATTTCTGCCAGGGATGTTCCAGGGGGAACTCATCGGGTCCCTGCAGGGGCAGCAGCTTCCTCTGCACAGCTGAGGTGATAAAGCTGCTCTAACCTGCACTCCAACTACTCCACAGCAATTTAGGACCTCTGAGGACAGTTCCCCACTGTTTCCACCCCAGCAGAGACCTGAACACATCCTGTGGGCACTGTGTGACCACCCCTGGCATTGACACCCTGCAGGAATCAAGACACTGACTGTAAATACACTTGTCTGCCTGTAAACCTGAACTTTGTTTGCTACTATACAGGAATAACATTTTCTATTCATATTGCAGCTACAGATTTAATAAATAGAATTGCATATATTGTGCTTTATAAATTAAGATGCATTCCAAAGTGAGGCAATGCTAAAACAATGAAAGTCTTGAACCCTCCCCCCCAAACCAGCCCCACTTTCTGGTTTCAGAACCAACTCGCTTCCTCACTCTCTTCACAAAGGAAGAAACTCTCTGTTTCCACCTCTGAAACAAAAATTCCCTCCCCAGAAGTGATCAAAGAGAGTCTACTTAGGCACTACTGCAAATGGAAGTTATCTAATAACCATTCCTTCTAACTCAGGAAGGGGAGGAGGTGAAGAAAGTCACAACAGATGTTTGGATTCCTTCCTCTTCGACGGGTTCTCTTCCCTATCTGACACTCTGGGACATGTGCAGGGGGGTCAGCATCTCTTCAAAGATGGCTCCTTTCACGTTAGAGCCCCTCAAATTGGCTTCCTGGAGGTCACAACCTGATAGGTCACAATTCTGAAGGGGAAAAGAAGAAGAAGTGTCAATGGAATGCACCCAGAACTCTGTTCAAAGCTTTACTTGAAGTCCATTTACCTGAACTCCATTGTAGTCTGAAGCTGGAGAGGTCAGCCAAAAGCCAGCAATCCCCCAAATTATCAGCTGACTGTAGGATCTAAAGGAATAGGATGTAAAATGAACCCTAACTCACTTCCAAATCAGTTCCTGCCAACGTTGCTCCCCTGAGGTTACAGTTCTTTAGTTTGGCGTTTTTCAGCGTCGCGACTCGGAGATTAATTCCTGTCATCTGACTGCCCTCCATGTCCACTCCTTTCAGGTTGGCACCTGGAACACACACAGAAAGGAGTTCTGAGAGGAAAAACGGGCAGAGACACAGCAGCTCCACACTGGTGCTGCCTCAGAGCTGTGTGAATTGGAGGAGAAGGGAATTCAGTGCTGGGATGGTCACAGACTCAGCCCAGCCCTTGTGGGTTCAAGGGTACAACCCCTTCTCAGGGTTGGACAAACCACAGCTGGACCTTTTCTGGGGTAGATAAATGTACAAACACAGCCTTCAGTTGGCACAGATTCACAAGGCAAAAACTTCTTACCTTCCAGATTAGCTTTAAGGCCTGATGGGTCCTCAAAGTTGCAGCCTTTCAGGGACGCTCCCTCCGCGTTGGAGCAGAGCATCTTCACCCCCTGGAGGTTGGCACACTGGCACAGACAGGAGGCAGTGAGAGGACAACAGAAGGACAACACCAAACCAACCAAAATACAGGTCTAATTTCTGGTTTGGGAGTGAATCCTATTAAATCATCACTGTGAGGAAGCATAAAAGCTTTGGTAACTAGAGGAGCAGAGCATCTTCACCCCCTGGAGGTTGGCACACTGGCACAGACAGGAGGCAGTGAGAGCCAGAAGAACAACACCAAAACCAACCAAAATACAGGTTTAATTTCTGGTTTGGGAGTGAATCCCATTAAATCATTACCGAGAGAAAGTGTAAAAGCTTTGGGAACCAGAACAACTCTAGAATATATTTAAGAACTCGATGTTTCCCACCGCTCTGTTTGTTCCAGCTCCTCTCTGTTAAGACAAGCCCAGCCCTCCCAAGCTGCAGCAGCTCTTACATCCAGCACAGAGCCTGACAGGTCAGCCCTCTCCAGGTTGGCACAGCACAGGTTGGCATGGGCCAGGTTGCAGCGGCTCAGATTGGCCATCTTGAAGTTGATGTAGCGAAGATCCAGGCGGGAAAGATCCGCTCCACTGAAATTCAGGCCCTGGGAATCCCAAGGAATAAACCCCCCAAAAAGGTTACAGAGGTCAGGACACAAAGTTAAGGTAACTGTGTGCATTATTAAGATATATGTGTGCATTAATGTTTACAGTGTATAAATATCTGAGTAGAAATATATGGATATAAATGTATTAAAATATATGTTGTCTATAAATATAGACAGATACAAGATAGATACAGACACACACAGGTCCTGGGAGGAGCTGAAGACACCCCACCAGGGAAGGGGGCTATAAAAAGGAGGGAGAGGGGCTTTTGATATGGGCCTGGAGGGACAGGACAAGGGGCAATGGTTTTTAAACTGAAAGAGGGCAGGGTTAGATGGGATATTGGGAAGAAATCCTTCCCTGGGAGGGTGGGGAGGGGCAGGGATGGAATTCCCAGAGAAGCTGTGGCTGCCCCTGGATCCCTGGAAGTGTCCAAGGCCAGGTTGGAACAACCTGGGCTAGTGGAAGGTGTCCCATGGGAGGGGGTGGAATGAGAAGACCTTTAAGGTCCCTTCCAACCCAAACCATTCCAGGATTCTATAGAGATAAATACACACAAGACCATTTATTCTATGAAATATAAATGCAAAGCTCTCAAAAATTGTCCTAGGTTTATTTTACATTTAAACAAATTGCTCCTCCAGGAAAGCTTCCCCCTAAAGCAGGAATGCAGCCCAAAGCACCCTGGAATTCCAAGTCAAAGTCACTGTGCCACAGCTCAGAATCCAAACTCAGCTAAAGAGAACACAGTGTTTGCATTTCACGTTGCCACAGTCCAGCACCAGGCACCAACACTCCAGAGAGGGACAGCACAAGGGCCAGTGGTTTTAAGCTAAAAGAGGGAGGTTTAGGTGAGATGTTGGGAAGGAATTCCCAGGATTTTGTCAGAAAGAGGAATGTGTTCTCACCTGACAGCGCAGCTCGGACTTGGTGGGTGTTGCCAGCAGGAACCGGACAAACTCCTTCCGAGAGATGGGAGAGTGATCCTCAGCTGGCTGGGAATTCTGTTGGGAATGTTGTTCAACAGCTGACACAGACAGCACTAAATTACACATCCCCTGGAAGAGCAGGGCAGGTGCATTCAGATGTTCAACCAAATTACCTTAATGGCTATTTCGAGGTGTTCGATTAGGGAATCGATACCAAAAAACCTGGCTTCCTCCAGGACACCTGGAAACAAAGAGTTTGTTATTTCCAGGGAACTGTGAATCCAGAAATAACCCTCCTCCCTACTGGAGAACAACCACAGACATTGTATTAGATGTAACTGGGCAGAGGAAAAGCTTGCTTGCAGCTAAAAGGAAAAAAAAAATCACTGAGCCAGGATGTTTGCAACACCAGCATTGGGTTAAAGGTATCAGCTCCAGAATTCCAGCCAGACATGAATCCAGGATGGAAAACTTTTAATGCTCCCAAGATAAACAAAGAGCCTGTCTTCATTAAATCAAGCAATCTTCATTAAATGAAGTGATCTTCACTAAATCAAGCAACACCTTCATTAAATGAAGCAACGTGGAGCTGCAACGCCCGAGACTAAATCCCGAGGAAATTAAACTCCAAAGAAAACCACGGAGATGAGCACACAAAGGTCCCTCTGGCTTCACCTGGAAGGGCAAAGCTTAACTCCCAAAGAGGAATAATTCAGATGTCAGACAGGTAATACCTACCTAGCAAATTAATGCCATCATTTACAATGAGCTGTCCGTGACGTAAATAGTTCAAAATGGGCTCAAAATACTCGGGACTGCGGTCAATTAGGAATGCTCCTCTATGATCCTGCTTGTTCCCCCAAGCATCTGTTTCCACAACATATATATATATATAATTAAATTGGAGATATTACTATAGAGATTTAAATTTGATATATTAATAGAAGAGCATTTGCTTCGCTTGCAGAGTTTTATTACCAAAGGCGGCGGGATGTGAAAATGCCACGTGTGAAAGGGTGGGTGGCAAAGGAAGGAAAAGAGGAGTAGGGGGGGGGAAAATAACCTTAAAATGAACTTGTTGCTGCTCTAAATAACTATAAAATATTTTATCTAATGCATAAGAATGAAAGCAGCACTAAGGTTGGAGTCTGATTGTCTCCCAAAGGCAGCGTTTGCTCATGGATTCTCCTGACAAAACCGAGCAACAACAACAGACAAACAAACAAACAAAAAAGGACCCAAAACACTAACTGTGGGTGGGAGTTGTACTTTCACACACTTTGTGAGATGAGAAACTTTAGGTGGGCAACAGAGAAATAAAGAATTATGAAAAGAATAATTCTACGTTCTGCTTTGGTACTTTAACATGTTTTTGATATTTCAGATTCTCAGCTCGACAGTGCCTTGTGCCTACTTTGCTAATTTATTACTTCAAAAAAACCCAAAGTTTATTTCAGTGTACTCACCTTTATCTTTAAACATGTGGGCCAACATGCTGTCAGGTTCTTTGTTAACCAAAGTGCTCCTAAAAAACAAAGGCAGTGCAATTCCCTTTTTACTTCATACACTTCAGTGTTTAACAATTGATTTCTTGCAAAATCGTGCTGGTGACCACAAAACACAAACTTGCAGAAGTCAAAGACCTCCTGTTTCATAATAAGTTATTTTCCAAGCTCTTTTGCTGCATTGAAATCGAGTTTTTTGGAGATTAAAAGCATTTTTACCTCGTAGTGGTGAAGTATCTGCCTCCCACATTGAGTGTCAGCCAGTCTGTGTGGGACCCTGTCAGCTCCTCCTGAGCTCTCCCATCAGTCTGAGGATCTACAGGTTAAAAGACACCTTAGGAATTCTTTATTTATACTAATTTTTATAACAATTAATAATATATAATTAATATAACATTAATATAATATGTTTATAATAAGTTATTATGATACTTTAGTAGTTATTAGAAAAATTGTGACTATTTCTTAATTCATTCCCTATGGTGTCTTCTGAAAACACCAGCAAATAAAATCTTAGGTTTTTATGGAAGCAAAATAAAACCTCTTTCTGTTAAACACAAGGGTTTATATATTTTTTGCTGTATTTTATATAGACTTACCAATGAAGGGCTCCCCTTCACAGACAAACAAAACATCATCATCCCTGAGAGAGGAGAGGAGAGGGGGGAGAGGAGGAGAAAAAGAAGATTAATCATCATTTCTTGTTCATCTCATTGACAGGGAAACCCCTCCTGGCCACTTTCAGGTGAATTATAACCAGCTGCCACGAACTGGAACTTCAGGATCTGTTTTTCATCTGAATTTTGCAGGTTCCAGTGGATTGGGCTGGACTGACTTCACCAGGGGTTTATCTGCAGTGACCAGGTAGGGCCCATTTCTGCTACTCAGCTGATTTTTACAAAACAGCTGCTTTTCTCCCCAATCTGCAGCTATTCTGTGATGCCAAAGCAATGACAGGATTGGTCTCCTCTTCAAAAAAATCCCCATCCAAGGGCTGAGTGGAACAGTGGGGTTTCCTGGTGAACACACTGCCCTGGAATCAACATGGGGGGGTTCAAAGGCCCCGAGCACAGTTTGGATCAAGTTGTGATTAATCAACAGAGAAATGCTCTGAAGTTCAAAAGCCAGGATTATTTCTTTTCTGGAGGGATGAAAGGCCCCTTGGGCTGGAAATCAGAATATCTGGTTATTGATTAAGGAGGATTAAGAGGCTGCTGTCTTAATCCACCCCCCTGATTTGCCCTTTATTGGCTAATCCTTACCTAATCAAAGCAATGTCATCAATGAGTCCCCCTTTGCCATTGTAAACACTGGTGGCTTTGATTCCAAGCTTGTTACTGGCCACAGAGAGCAAATCTGAGAGGGTCCCATACACAGCCACCACCTGGGGAGACATGGGGGGGATAAAATCAACTGCAGGAAACTGGGCTCGTGTAGTTCTGCCACTTCAGGGATATCAAGATGGCTTATAGATCAATATATCTCATAGATCAATATATCTCATAGATCAATATATCTCATAGATCAATATATCTCATAGATCAATATATCTCATAGATCAATATATCTCATAGATCAATATATCTCATAGATCAATATATCTTATAGATCAATATATCTCATAGATCAATATACCTTAATATATCTTGTGCATCAATATATCTTATGTATCAATATAACTTATAGATCAATATAATTTATATATCAATGTCTCTTATATATCAATATCTCTTATATATCAATATAACTTATATATCAATATAACATATATATCAATATAACATATATCAATATAACTTATATATCAATATCTCATATATCAATATAACATATATCAATATCTCTTATATATCAATATAACTTATATACCAATATCTCCTATTTACCAGATCTCTTATATATCAATATAACTTATTTACCAATATCTCTCAGATACCAATATACCTTATATACCAATATATCTTATACCAATATATCTTATATACCAATAGATTTTAATATATCTTATATACCAATATACCTTATATACCAATATATCTTATATACCAATACATTTTAATATATCTTATATACCAATAAATCTTATATAGCAATATATCTTATATACCAGTAAATATTTAATCTCAATATACCTTATATTGTGATATATCTTACATCTCAATATATCTTAAAGTATCTTGTGTAACAATCCATGTTATATACCAATATATGTTATATACTAAAATATCTTACAGGGAGAGAAAAATATCTTTAAGGAGGTGAAAATACATGTGGATTTTGATTAAAAATAAAGCAAACAGACCAACTTTGATGGTGGAAAACTGCCTAAAAATGGGGTGACCTGCACAGCTCCCAAGACTCAACAGCAGCAGTGAAAGGAATGTTGAGCAAGAATATGATGATTCAGATTTTTATTCCCCTAGAGAAATATTGCTGGTTTTTCTGTTCCCTCCCTGAAACCAAAGGCTGAATTGCAGTCTGGGGATGGAAAAAGGAGGATCATGGATACACTGAGAACTGCAAAAAATTAAGGTACAGTCACATGAAGTGTCTTCAGTCCAGAGCTGGGCATGGGAAAATCAGGCTCATGGATAACATTTAATAGAAATACACCATTAAAGTAGAGTCACATTTAGTGTTTTAGTCCAGACCTATGGATGGAAAAATCAGGGTCAACATTCAGAACTGCAAGGTTCAAATACAGCCACAGTAACTTCTGCACTTGAGGGGTGGAGGGGAAAATCAGGATCATGAATGGCATTTACCAGAAATACAGGGTTAAAGAACAGTCACATCAAATTGTCTGTGGATGGAATGTCAGGATCGTGGGTAACATTTATAGAACTACAAGATTAAATACAGTCACAATTAACTCTCTGTGGCTGGGAAAAATCAGGATTATGGATAACATTTAATAGAAATGCAGCATTAAAGTGCAGTCACAGCAACGGTCTGTGGATGGGGAAATATGGGATGGATTATGGATAACATTTAATAGAAATACAGCATTAAAGTGCAGTCACATCAACTCCTGCACTCAGAGTGTGAGTGGAAACATCGAGATCACGGCTTATATTTAGAACCGCATCACCGGGCCTTTCTGGCAGGGCCCAGAAATCAACTTTTTCCCCCCTCTGAGAGGACCCCAGAGAGGTTTTAAACAATTTAATGCCATTATTCCCGGGCTCCCCACACAGGGTCACCCCACCCTCACAGCGCTGCTCCCGCAGGCTGCGACTGACGGGACGCGACTCAGCAAAGGACACGGAGCGTCTCTAACACCGACTCTCGCCTTAAACCCTCCGGGTTTCCCTCAGGACCCTCCCTCAGCGCGGACCAGGCCTGGCAGCCAACGGAGCGCACGGCCGGCACCCCCCGCGGGCCGGCACGCCCTGAGGGGCCCGGCCCCCCTGATTTCGGCTCCCCTCGATGCAGGACCCCCCCGTCCGGTGCCCCTTAAGCCTGACCTTGCCGTTGCGGGCGCTGCCGTTCACGAACAGCGTCACCCGCCTCATGCTGCGCCCGCCGCGCCGGGGCCGCCACAACACCCGGAAGCGCCGCGCGATGACTGACACGACCCGCGGCCAATGACCGCCGCGCTGCGAGCAAACCTATCCAATCACCGCCGCGTTCTCGCCGGAGAGGCGGGGCAAAGCAGCCTTATTTGCATAAAGCTTGGTTTAAGCGCCTGTGATTGGTCGCCGCGCGTCACGTGGGCGCGGCCCGTTGAATGAATTTATTGAATGCATTATTCCCCCCCCCCCCCAGCGGTGCTGCGACTCAACGGCCTGTGATCCCTCCGCCAGCCAAAAAGTCCCCCCGATCCACGCCGAGCCCTGCGGACCCCTAGAGGGAGACGCGGCGGCGCGGGGGTCGCGTCCTGCGAGCCGCGATCCCTCGGGCGCTGCGTGAAACGGGGGTGGCTTTTTGGTGGGAGTCAGGGGTGGGTGGGCGAAAGGGGCGGGGTCGCGGAGGGATACGCGGTGGCGGGGCGGTGCGGCGGCATTTGAACGTGAGGCGGGACGGGGTGAGGCGGGTTCGTGAAGGGGCGCGGGTGAGGGTTTGTCAGGGCTCCCGAGGGGTTTGGGGGGGTCCGTCCTGTGGTCTGGGGAGCGCTGGTGAGGCGGCACGAAGGAATCGCGGGGTGTCTGAGGGGCTACGAGCGGCGCCGGGGGGGTGTGGGATGGATGCGCTGTGTGGGGTACGAGGGGCGAGCCCTGAGGGACTTGGGGGGGTACGGGCGGGCTCGACCCCCACGCGGGCTGGTGTGGGGTCTGATTGTGTGCATTGGCCTCCAGTGTGGCCTTAAAGCAGGGAAAAAAAAAAAAAAGGAAAAAAAATTAATCGCCAATGCGGTGTTTACGGGCTTAATTTTGCTTCTAAGAACGCAGGTATTTGCAGAACCGAAGTTTCAGGCTGATGTTATTGAGTTCTACATCGTCAACTTCAAATCTAAGAAACTAACGGAAAAAAAAACAAAAAACCCAAACAAACAAACAAAAACCACCCACAAACAAACCAGTTAGCCTCTTAAGTTTTCTAGTTAAAACTTAGTGGTATTAAAAAAAAAAGTATTATTGTTATTGTTCCTTCTGCTGGTTTCTTCTCAAGACTTGTCTTCTTTCTCTCTCTCTGTTGATACTAATGAGTCTTATAAAAAGTAGTATTAAACTGCTGACATTTGTTGCAACACTTGGGGCAAAACAGTCACAGTGTGGTTGTGATTTATGTGTTTTGTGCATGTGTTTTATCCTGCTATGAAGTTTGACAGATTGAAATCATAGCCTTGTGTTCACTTCCCCATGTATATTTATTGCTTATATTACAATTATTGCTTATATTATGTTTATTATATTGGTTGTATTATGTTTGTTGTACTGCTTCTGTTGCTGTGCATTCCTCTTTCCTGTTCCACCCCTTTGTGTCCTTTCTGGAGAGGAATTTCCCTTTCCACCACACTGTGGAAAAACACCTTGCTCGGGGAAAAATGTGGGTTTGGGAGCAGCTTGAGCGTGGTAGGGAACTCTTGCTCTTAGCAAATAACTATAATAATCTTTTTTTTTTTCTTTTTGATAGGAATCTGTGATCACAGGAGCAAAGGCTGAGTGAATGTTTCTTAAAATAAATCCCAAACAATGCACAGACAACCCAAGAGTCCCCTGAAAGTTAAAGAAAATGAGGGTGGTTGTCTCGAAGAGAAAGATGAGGCCTCTTTCCCTCTGCCAAAAGAGCAGAAGATCTGCAGAGGGACTAAATTCAGAGTCATCAGAGCATCCAAGAAGGAGAATTTGAGCGATGGGAACCAGGCTTGGTCACCAAAACGTGCCCTGAGATCCCCCAAGGGCCTCGGGGAGGAATTGTCCCACCCCGAGGGGGATCCCGGGAGCTGCCCCTTCCCTGGGGGCTCTGGTGCCCTCCGAGGGGATGTGGGCAGTGAACCCACCTTGCCTCTGAACACGAAGGAGAATTTTCCAGGCAGCAGGTCTGGTTCCTTGGGCAATGATTCCTTCTCCACTCCTGAGAGGGACAAAGCTGGAGGAAAACCTGATTTGGGGACATGTGAAGAGCAGAGGGAAAAACCCGTTGATTTTGCTGCTGTGACAGTCACTGAGTTTGGGATTGCTCCAGAAAGTTTCACCAAACGGTGTAAAGGTGAGGCTGGAGTGAGGAAGGACTGTTGTCCTTCCCACAGAGGCACCTTGAGGTCATCCAGTCCAAGCTCTTCCCAAAATCCCCAATTCAGGGCAGATTCAGGTGGTCTGACAGGATTTGGAAATGCCCAAGGAGCAGACTCTGAGAGGAGTTGCTGTAATATCCTATATCTCATATATTTATATAATATTTATTTATATAGATATAACATTTATTTATTTAGATCACATATATTTATATGATATATTTTTCTATATCATATATGCAATATATGATATAGAAAATTATATACATATACAGTATATATATTATACATAATATATATATTTTATATATATTATAATAGATGTGTATAACATATATATATAAAATATATGTATATGTAACATGTATATACACATATATACAATATATATGTATATATTATAATAGATGTGTATATATAACATATATAACATATATATAAAATATATGTATATTTAACATATATACACATATATAATATATATGTATATATAACATATATAAAATATATGTATATTTAACATACATACACATATATTTAATATATATGTATATATAACATATATATGAAATATATGTATATGTAACATATATACACATATATTTAATATATATGTATATATAAAATATGTATATAAAATATACTTATATGTAACATATATATACATATATATTATATATGTATGTATAACATATATATAATACATTTGTATATATAACACATATACATATATAATATATATGTATATATAACACATATATACATATATATAATATATATGTATGTATAACAAATGTATATATATTATTTATACATATAATGTAATGTATAGTATATCTTATATATAATATATATTTAACTAGGATTTATCCTACATAATTAGATGTTCCCTCTTTATCTCTGAGCTTCACAAGGGAGTTGTAAGACAAATTCTGCAAATCTCATGGACAGTTCCTTGCCTAGCAATTGAAACACTAAAAGCCAGCCAGCCCCTCACATGGGATATAAATCAGTTAAATATGAACTTTTGGGCAGCTCTTTTGCTTTTTGCTCAGGAAAACTTCTTGAGCCCAGCAGGTGACTTTGGGTCTTTCCATAAACAGCAAAAATCACTCTTAAAAAAAAGGACCAAAAAAAAATATAGCATTTTGAAGCTTTAGGTATTAAAAAAAATGCCTGTTTTTTTTCTGGGTTTGTTCTTCTTTTCTCTTTTTTTAACCCCTGCCCTTGTCCCCCCTCACAGGGAATTCTCCGACCTCGTTGAAGCTGCGGCGCCGATCAACCATCGGCTTGCGGGGCTCCCCGGAGAACAACTCCCTGATCTGCTACCTGGCCCAGCACAGGAGCAAGAGGCAAAAAACACCTTTTACACAGGTGGGAATCCTTCCCAAAAATCACCTGGGGCACTTTAGGTCCCCCCAGGAACCACCGAGGATGAGGCAAGTCCTGGGAGGAATCCAGCAGGAGAGAGACCCTGATTTTGCTGACTTCCCTTGGCCACTTGACTTTAGGCTTTCCTGAGTTTTCTTGACTTTCCAGGTTTTGTTTAGAGGTTGCAATCTTCTCCACGTTGAGCCTGCTCATGTATTTTAACTTGTCTTACTTCCCAAGTTTGATTTTTGGGTAATTAAAGTGTTGTGAGTGAAGTCAATATGAGCCCAAGTGACTGGTTTAATCAGACTCCTTGTTAACTTGAACTATCCCAGGCTGTCAGAAAGCAAATTCTGAGCATGGCTTAGAGGAACAGATTATTAAAATGCTGTAAAACTTAAAATATTTCTTGATAAAGTTCCTTTTTTTGCTTATTCTTCCCATCCACCTACAACAGCAGCCAGATTAAACACAAGACTCGGTTCTTCTCTCTCTTTTTTTTTTAATCTCAAAGGATAAATACAAAGTAATAAAGAGTCTGATGAGGTTAATTTTTGTTTTGGCAGATTAGTCCTTTTAAACCTGTGAATGTCAGGTCGTTGAAGGACAAGATTGAAACCTTTCAAACATCTTTTGAATCCCTCCAAGAAGCTGAAGGGGAAACTGGGCTCTCTGGGCTGTCCCATGGGGATGATTCTCAGGAAGGAGGCTCTTGTAAGTTGATTTAATACTCTGCTCAGTGGTTTGTCTCAAACATCAGGCCTTCCTTTGGGCTAAAAAGTGAGAAACTAAAAATACTTCACGTAAAACAAAATAATCTTCCTTTATAAGGTGTTTTTTGGGTTTGCTTTGAGGGGTTTTTTTGTGTCTTTTAACCATTTTGGTGCATCCTGAATCGTGGTTCCTCAGAATAACCCCTGAAGAAAAATGAAAACTCGTGTTTTTGTGACTCTTTCCTCAGTTTTAGTCCCTAGATTTATAATCTTTGTGCAAACACTAAGCATTAGTGTTTGCACACTTTTCCCCTGAAGCTGAGAATGGTTTTTATTTTATTTCTCTGGTATTGATGATCTTCCAAATATTTACATGCAAAGAATAACTTACTTTGTTTTGGAGGGTTGGTAATATTATTTTCAATGTGTTTTCTTTTCCCTGCCTAAAACATGACCTGATTTTTGCATCTCACCATCCTCTTGGTGAAGAAACCTAAAACCAGAACTCACTGAAAAACCTGAAGTTTGTCCTTGTGGTTTGTTTGGTTTGTGTTTTGTTCTTAATTGATGCAGCTCAGGACAAGGTGCCTTTTGAAAAGGAGCCAAACCTGGAGCAGTGGAGTGAAAAATTCCTGTTGGACAACAGTGGAGCTGATTTGAAAGAGAATTTTTGCAGGGAAAATGGGACCAGGAGCAGCAAATCTGAGCCCAGGATCTGCAGCATCTTGTCTCCAAACCCAGGTGTGACTGAACCTGCTGCTCCAAAGGTACTCAGAATTAAGAGGAAACTTCTAATTTAGTGATTAAAATAGCTTTTTTCATG